AAAACTATGATTAAGACATGGGGGTAAGGAAATTAACTAAAGAGTTCGATTTTGCTTTGCAACACGATGTAAAAAATACTTTTTCTAATAAAATAAAGGCCATAAATAAAAATAAGTACTCAATTACTTGTTTTGTTTTTGCAATGAGGTCTTACTTATTATATGTATATAATGTGGTATTAATAATAATTATTCATATTACCAGTTCCATGTATGAAAAAATCACTAGCCCTGTTCAGAACTTTATTTGTTGTATGTTCAATGTGTTATTGTCGCCCCTAGTTACGATTTGTTAATTAGCAGTCATTTTGACCTTTACTTCTTTAACATTATCCTTAAACCGGTAATAATTAAGTAATTTCTCTGTGATTATTATCATTAATATAATCTAGGACCGATTGACAAATGGTAGATGGCAGACAAGTTCTCAGATTAATGAGGGCACATTCTCTCATCATCATTTGTTACCTTATTTATTCATATTACTTTCGACATAGTACTGCCCACGGAGGAAAAACAAAGAGGAGGTGTGGTGATTAAATTTTCTCAAGAAACGACGCGTGATAATTTGCGGGATGCGGGGTGTTCAGCTCCGCCCACTTCTCAATATTTCATCTATCGGCTAATAGCAAAACTAGCTTAGGTTGATATTTATGTTACTACGTAGTAGTTCAGCTATCTAACACTAGATGTTCAAAAGTTTTGTATATAATGGGACGTATTCAGAACTTGAAGCTTCAAAAAAATGAATTATGTAGGTAAATAAATAAAATAAAGGTTAACAAATTTGACCGATTTTAAAATTTTTAAGGTATAATTTTTATTATTTTAAAACATGTAACTGCTTGATGAAAAAAAATCCAGGCAGACCAGGCAGCAGACGGGACTCGAACCCGCACCCGCTCCCGTCTGCTGCCTGGTCCGCGTGGATATTTTTCTAGTTATATTTTCTTTAGATTTAAATTTTAAGGTAGTTTAAAAATAATAGACAAAATGTTATTACAAACATAATTTTATTAAAAAACATCAATTACCTGTAAATAATAATTTTGGTTAGTTGTTGTCGCTTGGTTGCCCTATCGTTTTGTATTGTGGCAAAATGCTTAAAACGAATATAATATATTTTTCTGCAATCGAATTCATCAGAAATACAACATGATTAACTGTAGGTGATTGGTCAAACATATGGTTGGCCGATTTTTTGAAACAATCTTGTCCAATAAGTGATTTTAATGTATTCGATACAATTTTATGTTTACGAAAGTTAGGAGTATTCAAAGATTGCGATTTAACACAACGAATACTGCCTTCGGTCCGTATACATATTTTTATGACATCTCTAGATGGGAAAGTAAGACCACCCTTATTTTTAGTTTTTATCAAATCAAGGTCACTATCGTCGTAGTTATCAGCATATAATTCTTTGAGACAGCTCTCACATTTGATCTTGGAATGTAAATATTTGACCACATACCCAGAAATATATGCTACTATTTGACGGCGCAAATAGTCACCTATAGTTGTATTTAATTGTTCATCAAATTCCAATAACATATCGTCAGGCATAGGCTCGACATCCGTGCTATCCGAAGACTCGAAACTCATTTTATTTAAAATGCGATAACGTTCTGATGTAATGATGCCAATTCTGGCGTGATTCTCTAAACTTAAAACTAAATTTAACATCAGTCTCTCCTTTTCATTCTGTATAGAGAATGACAAAGATACATTGTTGTCAAATTTAAGTTTAGCTTTAGAGAATTATACCAGAATCGACACTAATATTAATTTTTTGCACAGAAGATTCATTTAAAATGGAAATATCTTCTTCTTCTATGGTGTCCAATCCGGTCTATTAAGTTTTGAAATCCATTGCTGTTTTAAATTATCGTTGGATGGAAATCTAAAACGAACATAAAAATAATTAAAATTTATTTACTTGGTAAAATAATTTAATACGTATTACGGCCCTGGATATTTGTAACGTTTAAAAAGTTATTCTATATGACGACAGATGGCGGCCAGTAAGTAATATATTGATAAAATTACTGTTTTAGATACTAAAAGTTATTTAGGAATAAGTGTATAACAGTTTTCAGTATTTACGTATGATTATTACAATATACTACTGCAAAATTATACGTAAACTTGTGTATTTTCTTCCTAAAAGTGTCGCCATCTCGTGTCAAGTAGTAGAATTTTAACGCTGATAGCTGAGGCTGAGAATGTTCTAGAAGTTATATATTTAATTACGTATAAAATTACTTACAAATGAAATGTGATGCCATCCATATTTTCAGAACGTCTGTCTGAGTAACTTTGACATAGTAAAACACAAAACTTCATCCTTTTCTTGTTAAAAACGCAAAAAAACACTTATAATGCGAGTCTTGTTAAGTGTGCACCTGACGAACGCTGAAAGCATACTGATTTAGGCCCCGCCCACAATGATGACGTCAGGACCTAGTTGAAAATCACAGTGCACAGTTGCTTAGGCCAGCTCCTCTTTGTTTTTCCTCCGTGGTACTGCCACCTGGCGTCTATCATTCAGGGATTTCCTCATCAAAGGACCCTCATTGCATTTTCATTCTCTTTGTGTTTCACAAGTGTCAAATCCCTGTGATGAAATAAAAACGCACTCTGTATTATATTACAGAAAGTAACAAGTGCCGCCAAAGCTTCTGCTAAATAAAAGCACGCCCTTACTTTGCTTCACTGTTAACTTGTTCGATGGAGTGTAGATGGCAGTGTTCTCACTTTAATTGTTCAATCTTGATTAAATACTTAGATTAAATTTAAATAAAAATTGATTCCGTAATAGCCTGTGCAGACGAAGGATAATTGTCAGCGGACTTGTTGCGTGCGAAAAATAAAATAAAACTCATGTGACAAGGCACAGAAACATACCCTTAGCCTTAGCACGAATGTTTATCGAATTCGTATCGTTTGCGAGTACGAAATGTCATTGTCAAATGTTTACCGATTTTTAGGTCTCGTTACGTACGTTATGGCGCTGCTGATCAAGTTTGCATATAAAATTTGGCAAGACATTTCGGACTCGCAAACTATGTATTCGAATTTGATAATGGTTCGTGCTAGGGGTAACACACAGTCTTCTCTTTTCTTAAAGTTCATAAAATTACATCGCAAAGTTCCCAGATTATATGGTTCCATAACGTACGTTTCTCTAAATTACCGGGCAACAAATGTCCGCACATCGTGTGCGTTGAGTCCGTGACAATTACTCGGCGGACATTTTCTTCGCGATTGGTATTGGTACTGGTACTTTCAGCCTACGCGGACAAAAAACTCCTCATTAGCGGAAGCTAAAAAAAGTATTATATATTTAGGACAGATTCAAACACGGTTGGTATAATAAATTCAATTCACAGCTGTTATTTATTAAAGAACTTTGGAAAGTCAAAATAAATATCAATGAGGATTCGTAACGATTTTTGTTGAGAATGCAGTTTTATAGAGCTAAGAATTCCATAAAATACAGAGTTTAATTTTTTTATTCTACGATAAATATTGGCGAAGTTCTGACCCAATTACTAAACAAACTGTGACGTCACAGATCTCCAGCGCTCACGGACATCTTGAAGATCATGATTAAAATATTAATGATGCTGTTTTTATTGGCATTATTCAGCAACTTCTATTATTAATTCTTTTTGAAGATTGTTATGAATGATAAATTAATTACTTACTTCCAAATGGATAGTTTTTTTCTTTAATTTGAGTAATTAATACAAAAATCATTTTTCATACATTCATCAACAGCATGTGTGTTTCATAATATCCATTACGGAGAACAAAAACTTTTTTTTTCTATAATCTGAGGGTATTATATTATGAAGCTGTACAGACGTCTACGTTTTCTTAAAAAAAGGCACTTGCAAGCTCTCAATTAACTTGACATTGGCGATTCAAATCGTCGAAAAAAAAACGCCATCAAAAAAGAAGAAAAATACACAATAGAATTACGATGTTTCTATGTCGTTAATTTTTTTTATAGCGAGGTAGGAAATGACTCTACCCCACCTGACGTTAAGTGGTGATAAAGTCCAAACGCAAAGATAGCTGGTACAGCAGTTATAAACTGCTACACCAACCATCCTTACCTTGCCGGCCTGCAAAAATGCTTCTTCACGCCTCTCTGTAAGGACCCCAGATTCTAGAAGTTCTACTTGTCTATACCAAAGAAATAGATACAATATTTGAAACAAAATATTTGGAACCCGTTATATGAACTTGAATATATAATAAGATACTTTTTATAGAAAAACATTAAGTTTGGTTTATTATTGAGTATGAAAATTTATTATCCAATAAACTGCCTTCACGTCTGCTGATTAATAATTACAAACGGTGATAAGTTAATGATATTTCTAAAGACTTTGCTTTTAAGTGGTGTACCTACTTATGTTGACGATTTGCAACGATTGATATTGAAAGTTACAAGTTTACGCTTAATGGATTGCGCAGACAAGGAAATTTTGTCCGCAGACTTTTTTATCTGCAAAAAACAGTTCGCTTACAACTGCATCGAGTAACACAACGCACACGAGGATTTATAAGTTCCGCGTACAAAAAGTCCCCTAAACAATCATGGACCGAGGAACCGGACAGGACAAAACTACGCAGGTGTTTCCAAAAAAAATTGAACTCATGTGACTACGCAACAACGCACACAGCAAACTTTAGTTTGCGTTGCGCGCTCAATCCGATATAAAATAATGAACCCAGTATTATTTTACAAAACGTTATTTCTTTTTCTTAAACTTCATATTAATTACAACGCAAAGTGATATCAGAATATTTGCTTCTCCAAATTTCCGGACAACAAATATCCGTACACCGTGTGCAAGTCCGTGGCAAATCCTCGGGAGTCATTTTTTTAACGATTCAGAGACTCTTTTCCTTTACAGTCAAAAGCCCCTCGTCTGCGCAGACCATAACAAAAATATGTAGCAAGATAGTAAATCAAAACACAATCATAATTCAGCTCAAAATATAATCATGTAGTAAACAACGTCAAAACGCACGCTAATAATATGAAGTTGATCTGTGCGAGCTTGACAGCAAGCTTGGCAACAAACGGGACCATATCGCCGGTAGTAAAGCTAGCGACGCGCGTGTATACGCCCGGTTGGACGCCGCAGATGCCGCCCCATGACACCAGGCCGACCAGAACGCCGCCACATACAAGAGGCCCACCAGAATCACCCTAGAACCAATAAATATAATATTTAGTCACTCTTCGCCACAAAAGGGACCATATTGTCAGTAGTAAAGCTAAAGCTAGCGACGCGCTTGTATATGCCTGGTTGTACGCCGCAGATACCGCTCCACGACACCAGGCTGACCAGCACGTCACTACATACCAGAAGCCTACCAGAATCACCCTAGAACCAATAAACATAATATTTAGTCATTCTTGACCACAAAAGGGACCATATCGCCGGTAGTAAAGTTAGCGACGCGCGTGTATACGCCTGGTTGGACGCCGCAGATACCGCCCCATGACACCAGGCCGACCAGAAACGTCGCCACATACCAAAGGCCTACCAGAACACCCTAGAACCAATAAATATAATATTTGGTGGTACCATTGTCGAGGCTATTTTCGCATAGGGAGCTATCCTTAACCCTGATCTTGGCCAAAAAGACAGGCGTCCATACGTGTCGAATCTAAGTCTAGATATTGAACAAATAACTCTTTTTTTAAATTGCGAAATCGGCAAAACCAAAGGACGCATGGAATATCCGGTTGTAGATTGGCGTAAAGTAAGCCTTTTATCTTGATAGTTTTTTTCCAGTCTTTTCCGTTCCGAGAACAATATGTTAGAGGCTACTATGGAGGCTGGATCATTGGGATATATGCCATTGTAAGTAAGAGAGCTCTCCTCTCTAAAATTAATTAAAACCGGAAGTGTCAAATTGCGCGAAAGAAGTATGGCCGACTGTATCATGGCGGGGCAGTGAGAGTGGGAAGGAAGCATTCTGCTGATAGCCGTTGAAATGTTCGGATCTGTCGTCTCTAATTATTTTTATAAGAACCTCTAATTTGGAGTTGAATAAATAAGTTGTTAGTTTCTGAAGGAGTTTTCCTTACAAACAGATAAAATGTTATGTATCAATACATTGAGCTATATTTTTTTTTAAATTGGAAAATATCAGATAAATAAATGAGGAGCTCGATGGCGCAAGTGGTTAGCGCGTTCGGCTGCGATCGTTGAAGTTAAGCAACTTTCGCAGTTTTCGGTCATTGGATGGGTGACCAAAAATTTACTATCTCGAGCTCCTCCGTGCTTCGTAAGGCACGTTAAGCCGTTGGTCCCGGCTGCATCTGCGGTCGTTAGCACCCGCCAATCCGCACTGGACCCGCGTGGTTGGTGATGGCCCAATCTCCCTATTCCATCCATAGGGAAGGCCTGTGCCCCAGCAGTGGGGACATTAATAGGCTGATGATAATGATGACGATGAAGTAATATAAAAATATAACCAGTCAAATAAAAATAAAAACTTAAAAAACCGGAATCGCGGGTACAACACTACCCAATAAAAACTGGTATCATTATTTGCATATTTGGCATTTGCATGTGTCGCTTTTGTCTCTGAGAAAGTGCATATTGCATCGGGTTTTTGATGAGTGTAACTTAATTATTTGCTTAATAGTGTTTTAATCCCGTCTGCTTGATACAAAGCGTCGTGTCCATACCGATGTGATTAAGAACGAAAAGTTTTTCGATTTTCTAACTTTAAATGTAATTTTAGACTTAAAATTGCAGTATTTTTTAATGATAATTTTATCAAACTAGCATGTCATTTTGTCAGTCATTAAAAATGGCAGTTTGATAAATTATAAAGGGAAGCAGCTACTATAACCTATAGATTCTTGCTATACCAGAGAGTATCACTGGCGCGTTGTCTTCCATCCCCCATACACCTACCCCGTGGTACCCGAGAAACGTTGCTGACCAATAGAAACACAACACACCCAAAAGGTACCGTCATTCTTTTGTGGTGGTCTGTGAGGTAGGGGTTCGCTTCCCTAGACTGGCACTCCAATTCAATCGAAAAATCCTGGACGGTAAAACTTTACTTGTTGAGCCCGGGAGTTGACACTGCACATTTTTTTGTTAAAGACCCTGTTAACTAAATATTTTTTGGCGTTTCACCGGCTCATTACAAGGCATGCTCGCGTATTATAGTCGCAACACTAAAGAAACCTTACCTAGTTTGAAGTGTCAACTCCTGGGACCAAGAAGTACAGTTTGGCCTCCTTGTAACGTACCTCGCAACTATCTTTTGTATTCTCGCCAGCACAGAGACAGGTCGGGTGTATTTTGGACGATCGATAGTAGTAGGAACATCTTCTGTTTGACACGATAGGTACACATACCATTCGCAAATTTTCTGATCGCTTATACTGTGAAACAAACAATATAAAACCATTTGACGATTTTGCCAGTTGGACGACCTCCATGGCCTAGTGGGTTGTACGCCGGGTTTCATGGTGTCGCCGACTCGAGAGGTCCCGGATTCAAATCCCGGCGGGGGCAGATGTTTGTATGATGAATACGAGAATTTGTACTCCAGTCATCGATGTTTATATGTATTACTATAAAAATATACTTATATATGTACAGTATATGTATTCTATTCGTTACTCTAGTATCCCATATTACAACCCTTATAGTGCTTACAGTGGAGTTAAGCTAATTGGTATGAGTGTTGGAAATATTTATTTATTTATATCGAAGACCAGTCATACTTCTTAGAACTATTTTCGTGCAATACAGGGATGAAGTGGCAATTAAAATTTTATTCATTCCTTTTCAGTTTTAGTTCAATTTAATTTTCTAATTAATATAATGTACATACGTGCTCCAAGAGCCCAAACCCGGAGACAGCGCAGTAAACACCTTCGTTCACATCTATATCCATACTCGGTACATGCATACGAATGGGCTTCACCTCTTCAGATTCTATAAATGCGTATTCCATCTGAAATAATGATACTCAATATAGGTGTAATAGAAGGGGAGCGCCCAAGCGGGGATATTGGGATTTACTTGAGCGTGGCAGAATATCATAAGGGTGCCCCCCCCGTTTGATACTTTGCACCTTGTGAAGTACTCTCACCATACCTGAGCCCTTATACTATATGATCGAACGTCCAGGGTAGCACAATAAATTACAACAATCGGCCATGACTTTTGGTCGCGTCCAAATAGCCAGTCTTTTGAATAGGAGTTACTGGAGGGTTTAACGGCCCGAGTAGAAACCGTGTCAAAATCGCTTCGTTAACAAGCGCCTTTACAAGTGCTAGTGAACCTGTGCCACAATATCCTGAGAGGATCATACTTCCAAATTATTCAAGAGCACCTGATACACATTCACGCTGCATATTTACACAATATACATGTGATATACAAATAAATACAATATACAATATGATACAATTATGTGAAAAATAGTCAATAAATAAGAAGCAAAACTACAGTTTTTATTTTATTCATGATTCCTACCTAACCAAGTTTTTCCTAAAAGTTATTCTTTAAAATCGCTCCGAATAAAATAAATTAGTTGTAATATTAATTCGCTTCATACTAAGTTCATAGGTTGACCTTTATTTCTTTTAATATTAAACATAACCTCAAAAAAAATACTTTTCCTAATAATTTAAGTTCTCAGAAGTGTCCGTCAATAATCTTAGTTTTAACAGTCATTTACTTGCGATTTCGATCCTAGAAAATAATATTTCATGATTATTGGTTCTTAGGTTAACTATGTGTGGACGCAGAACAATGTCCTTTATATACCTCTCAAGTTTTGTGCCAAACTACAGGTCTTTCTTCTACTAGAGCTATCAAATGTTCCATGTCCACTTTTTTAGTACTCATGTTTGATAAATGTTTCAATTTTAATGAAAGGGCGGACAATACACGTGTTTTCGCTAACCGCTAAGCTAAGCCGCGTCGAATGTGCACGCGCAAACTTGTTTACATAGTGGAGTAGATGTCGTGTCTAAACAAGACGTCTGGTGTAGACACGACATCGAATATGCAGCCGACAAATTGACTAGTATTCTCGTGTCTTATCCTACATAAGAAAAAATATTTTGTAATATGTACGGTTTCATATAACAATCTATGCGACTGAATTTCTTATAAGACATGTCTCATAAGACTCAAGAAATTTTATTATAATATGCAAAAGGCCTAAGACTAGAGAAAATTCGACACGGCCATAAGGGTCGCGGTAATATAATGGTCAGTGCATTCGTTCGAATAGCGAAGGGCTCAAGTCCCGCCTGCTGCCTGGTCCGCGTGGATTTTTTTCTAGCAAAATTATCTTTACATTTAAATATCTAGCAGTTACACGCTTAAAAAATATAAATTTTAACAGATACAATCAATCAAAATAGGTCAGTATATAGATGTTAAGAAATGTGTTCACGGTGGACCCCTCACCTCACTATTTAACTGTAACACGGATCGAATCATTTGGTTCAACAAAGCAACATCAAATTAGGCGTGTGATATAACGAAGTCCGATGAGGAATTATGGATTTACAGAGGAGCAGACCCAGCAAAAAACCGGAAATCCGAATGTTAAGGTCTTTCCATGTGGTCCGAAAACAACGAAAGTGGCAAGAGTGCAGTTGTGATACGCTCACTTATGGGGTGTCGCAATTCGTGAAAGTTTGAATTCAAAATCATTTATTTGCTAAATATGGGTTCAATATTTAGGTGGAAATAATGCAAGGTAAAGTTCAAATATCTATACTTTGCCAAGTGGTGTTAAAAAAATCACAACTTGAATTTGAAGTGGAGTTTTTATTTTTATCGAATTACCTTGACCTGCTGCAACTTAATGTATACACATATATTTTTAACACGTGACGCACGTGAAGATTAGTTAATAGTTAAGTAGGTAGTAATTTAATAACAATAAAGGTCAACACCTTACCAGACACAAATAACACCTACAGAGTACTTAGTTTCTAGATATTTGTCTAGAATATATTTATTTAGATTTAATACAGCTTTTTCGATAGCAAGCTATTTCGTAATCCAAGAGTGTATAATGTGCTTCGGAGACAGTCATTCGTAATTGTCATTTTTTACGTTATGGATCAAATGATTGTCTTGAGAGACAATTAAAGCCATTGTCATTGGCAACTACGTAATTGTAGGCGAATGATGGAAATTTTGACTGATGCCCATTTTGACGAAAGTGTGATTTTCTATGATCTTATGCCGCCATGTCCATTTCACCATAATATAAGACTACCAGATGGAGGCAGCGTTTCACGTTATTGATATTCCAATCCGTATGTTTTGTGGGATCCAACACCAAAAATAGTAATCTGGGATTCAAAAGTGGCCATTTTTCCTACAAAGACCATAATTCCTACAAAGCGATTTGTTGTTTTTGAGCTTTTTAAACGCACAGTGAAAATGTGCAATAAACTGCCAGGGTCTTTTTTATATCTAACCTTTATAACAGTGTACTTAAGACACGGACCATACGAATTTAAGACAAACGCACAAACAGTTAATAAATTTTACGACCTCAGTGGCCAAGTAGTTTATTCGCCGGGTTTCGTGGTGTCGTCGATTTGAGAGGTCCCGGGGTCGAATCCCGGTGGGGGCAGATGTTTGTGTGACAAATACGAGCATTTGTACTCTAGTCATTGATGTTTTTTGGAGTTTACTCGTTAAGAATCGATTTGCATATATAAGGGGCCCGGTATGAGAAAAATGTGAGGAGTCTATCGATGAATGACCTCGTTACGTTTTTGGTGCGCATCCTATGTCGCGCAACTTTGACAAACAAAGATGACGGATTGACATTAATAAAATTTTTAAAATCTGAACTGAATTTAGATATTGTTTCTGATAGAGCAATGGGGACAACGAGGTATGGTACAACCATTGGTGCGGTATTTTCAAGATTCGTGAACCACGTATCTACGAACGTCCATGTGTCTTATTTTAGTTACCATAAACCACTTGTCACTGTAATTAATAATGCAGACAATGTTGATTTAATTAATATTTAAAAAAATGATAATAGTCTGATAATAATAATTACATAATTTATCAACATTCCTAATGATATATTTATGCACATCTGAAATTGACTATTGTAAAAAATTTAATGTAAAATATTTCGTCGATTAGTTATAATAAATGTATATGAAATGAATAAATATATATTTATCTATGTATATTATTTTCATTCATTTGTTAATTTACCCTTACATACAGTATCAATCTTTTTTAAGTTAAATAAACTCTTTTTGCGTCTGGTTAGACTATCGAACTTAAGGAGTAAACTCCAATCGTGCGTCGGAGCTGACACACACATTTTTTTTTCTTTTTTTATTTATTTATTCAGCAAAAAATGTTTACATACAAAATTACCCACATTATATCTGCCAAACTACAAAGCAGTTTTTCGGCAGAGTTCTCGTAGATACATTATTGTATTTATAATCATCATACTATAATATAACGCATTTTAACTTTTCTATCACAGAGCACCAAAAATACATAACGAGAAAAACAAGATATATATATATACATATATATATATATAAACAAGTGTGCTTATATATATATATACATATAAGCACACTTGTTTTTTTTATTATTATGTATACGCGCACAGCACTCGTATAATATAACTCTTTTGAACAAGTTAGAAATCAATTAAATATATAATATCACAATACTTGGTACACTATTAAAAAATAATTAGTATTAGTACTTATTAACGTAATTATGACATAAGTGATTAAAAAAAAGACTAATATAATCGTTCATCATGTTACAGGCAATTACTGCGTGTGTTACATGCTCCAATGGATTCACTTTTTGTACAATTTTGTATAAGGCCATGTTCAAATGACGAGCACTTAACGAATGATTTTTTTACTTACATTTAAGTACAAAAATTATGAAAAAACACTGAAAAAGAAACTGTAGGTATGTTTTTACATAAGAAATCATTTTCAATTAATTATAATAATTTTAGCCGTGCGGTGACGGAGGAAGAATACTACTCACGCCCCTTCTCTTCCCGTGGGTGTCGTAAGAAGCGACTAAGGGATGTCGGAGCTTCCATCCGCTCTTCTGGTGGTTGGGTGTAGGGATTGCAATTCCGCAAAACGGAATCAGGCAATCCAAAAAAAATAGCTCTAACACTACGTGTAAATGGCGAGTAGCACGTTGCTACTCGCGATTTACGCGAAAATTGCTATTTTTTTTTTCCTTTGAGTGTTAATCGAAAGAAAGTAAACATTTATTTATTTAAATCGCTTTTAATTACTTAAGACAATAAAACCAAATCTATGAATACAAAAAGATATTGATTTGTGTTTTAAAAATTTATATTTTTAAATTAATTCTCTCTTCTTCTTCAGTCTTAATTTTTTGTTTCTCAAAATTAGGGAAAAAAGTCTTCATAATTTTAACCTAATAAATTGTTTTAATTAACCTATTTTATTATGCAACTGAAACATTAAAATAAGCAAATGGTAATAACGAATAAGCATATATCATACTTAATATTGTATTTATAATTCTGACACTCTGACTGTGCTGCTGGTAGAGAAGTAAACAAAAATAATGTAGAAATTTTGTATAACCTCATGTGACGCCCATATTTTATCCTGACTTCGAAAAGGAAGTTAAAATGAAGTTTCATTATGCTGAATAAAGTTTTAACTACTGTATTAAAAAACTTTTTAGCCCTTTATTTTATAAAATCTGCGCATTTAATCAAACAGAGTCCAAGTAGTTTCTCATTTTGGAAGGCATTTTACCGCTCGAGACTCGTTGTGACTGTTCTACCGCTTCCAGTTCTATACTCAATGTCCTTCTGCACTCCTTTCTTTTGCTTATTAAAAGCAGGAGCCTCCTGCCTTTTACAAAAATCATACAATTTTATTTATCATTGCAAAAGTACAGTAGCAAATTTTTTAAAACATCATT